ACGTGTACCCGTATTCCATAAACAAACATCCCAAATCCTGTAGCACTCCTTACCAGAAATCCCCAAAAAGTTACATGGGTGCTGAAATGACAGCGGATGGTGCCACACACAGAGACAACTTGACTGTAGCTGTCACCAGCATGACAAAAACACATGGGTCAGTGCTAATTATAAATGGATTTGCACTGACCCATGTGTTTTTGTCATGCTGGTGATCGACATTCAAAAGGTATTCCATAAACATTCACAAAATGTTGGCGCAGTATAAAAAGGTGCACAGTAGGATTTTCCCTAACTGCATGAGCCTTCTGAATCCAGGTGTACACCTCATATGTGTCTCTTTGATGAAGCCCGATTGTCTTCTCTGAAAATAACGTATAACGTCATCTAAATAAAACACTAATCTTCTTTCAGATTACTCTGCAAACTTCAGATTGTTTACATGAACCCACCACAGCATACCTTGCAAGGTACAGAAATGTTGCACAGAGCCCCTTCTTTTGCTCCTCAGAAAGGGGAATTAGCAGTTCTGATGCAGAGATACCTCCCATACCAGCTATTAGTCGCCCCCCCACCCCCTACAGAAGCCCAAAATGGTGTGATCTTACAGGCAGTGCTAAATTTGGGCTGCGATCATGATCATCTATAAAAAGGTGCCCATACGCCTGCCGATTATCGTACGATATCGCAGGTGATCCTGGAATTCGTACGATAATCGGCAGGTGTATGGAAGGCGTGCAACCTCTTCTACTGTACGGTCGCACGTCTTTGGTCTCCGGAGCAGGCTTGAAAACCAGCCGAGAATCATATGATTCGTCGGGTTAGTGGCGTTCTCGGGAGACAAATGCCGCAAGCGCACACTGCCCGCTCAGCATTGGAAGCCGGCCCCTCAGGGGGAGGGCTTGCGATGATCGCAAGTACGATCTGCCTGTCCAAGATGGGCAGATCGTACGAGCTTTTAATTACCTTACAACCATCGCAGGATGAAAGTCGTGCGAAGGTTGTAAGGTGTATGGGCACCTTAAGACCACCATTAAAAGGGAACCTGGCAGATTTAGAATACTACAGCTGCTGTTGCAAACCTGTATTTAAAAAAGGTGCATGCTCCAAGGACATTATCCTTGCTTCATATTTAGTGAGTCCCGGATCTAGAACAGGCATGTGCATATCAGGTGTGCCACTGGCTATCAGTCACTGACAGTCCTAGGACATAAGCCCCGAAGAATAAAACGGGTCAGCGATGCAGCTCCCAGATCTCATTTTGACCTGCTTTTCAATGGTCTAGAAACAATGTGAACAAAAGCTGCGTCTTACCCTTGGAAAGGAGGTTCTCTGACTTCCATACACTATCAGACTGGGAACATTTCCATCCAAGCGTGCTTTTACATTCTCGGGTAACAGACTGGAGATGTGTCACGGGAGGATAGAAGCAATTTAAGTAGAGCTAAAACCTAACTGCACAAGTGCTAACCTTTTTTTCCCCTCTTGCTGCTGCTTTCCTGCAGTTTCTCTCCGCCGCTTCTTGTCTACATGTACCAGCTGCACATCATTGCCTGGGACAGGTTTTCGGATAGTGACACCAGTGAACCAATGTGGCCACCTGTAGTCACCACCAGAGTTGCCAAACCGTACTGCTGAGAGAGTGTAACAGGAGTACAATCTGGCCCTCATAGCAGGAAGTGCGCAAACAAGGACCATCACGGCAGGATCACCAGGTATTAGTGTAGAAGGACATTACCATCTAAAGCTTATAGATTTCGGCAATTGGGTTTATAGCCACTTTAAAAAAAAAACAAAAACACAGCACTACATGCAATGTTGCCCAAAATAAATAAATGATCTACATTTATCCAATAACACTGCTCCATGCATTCCATTTCAATCAATCAAAAAAAAAAAAAAAAAAAAATAAAAAAAAAAAAAAAAAAAAAAAAAAAAAAAAAAGCTTCACAGGCACATCAGCACCATAATAGATGCCAGTGTATAAAAATCCATACGCTGGCTTCATGCTATGTGCATGTTACCCCAAGACATGGCACTCATTCATTTACATGGCACCACAATGCACAAGTATAATAATGCACATTCTGGATGAATGGGCTTCCTTAATGCAATGCGTGTTACACAATGGCACATGTGACTGCTTCACGTAGCAATCCAGAGGAGACTGCAGAAAATGCAGGCCCCTCTGAATGTCTGCTGATAGAGCCTGAACACAATGCAATGTCTAAAGCCTTAGGCCTCTTTCACACAGGCGGTCCGATCGGGTCGGTCAGTCAATCTTTTAGGCGGATACCCAATGTAAGTCTATGGGCAGCTGGGTCTAAACAGACCGGCGTCCGTCTACACGCTGTTATCCCCAACTTGGGCCAGCTCCGGAAATACAAAACGGAAAAGAGATGCATTTCCTGGTCCGGATGTGCCAGATTTACATCCGGATAGCCGGATGTAAAACAGACACTCATTTAGATCCGATTCCCTATAGACCAACCTGGGGTTCAATTATTTCAGTTTTATTCTTTCATCACAGCGGTGACGCCCGATCCGTACTGCACCGATCAGGAAGGGATCCGTTCATGGATCCCCCTCCTGATCAGCCCGTGTGAAAAGGGCCTTAAATTTTAGGTCAGTCATATTGCTAGTACCTCTTAAAAAGACAGACTGAAATACCAGCTCGGCCTGCTAAATGACTCACTTTCTGCAGATGATGGGTCCGATCTGAACTCGGTTACAAGGGTGTAAAGAACATGATTTCTTTGTACCATACGATTAATTACAACTTGTGTAAACCAACGCACGGCTGCTTAAGAATTGACCATTTACCTGTTCACATTTTAGCATCGAGAAGACAAACCTGTTAAGTTTCCAATTCATTTTCTGTTTTAATATTGCCACAAATGTAAAAAATGACAAACATGCGCAATATCCTTTAAGAGATGCAAACCAACAACAGCGAAGACACAAATACTGCATAGATAAATCAGAAAACAGAGCCGGGGAGAGAAGAATCTCCATTCACAATAACATCATGGACTGAAAGCAGCAAATAAGGACACACTTGGAAGCATCATCGATTCAAAATAAACTAAGTTAATTTACATCATTTAAAAATAAAAAAACAACTTTATACATAGTGCAATACAAGTTTTGTAACCAAAAAGCATTCGGTTATTTCACACTTGTCTTTTATACATGTAGTTCCATCTGGTGGAGATCCACAATAGTCCAATTGGCTCAAGCAAAGGTCAAATGTGCAAAGACAGCAAAAACTGCAGCTGTGATCACAGTCAGGGCTGGGTAGGTTTTCAGGAAGCTCCAGGCGGTTAGTCATTTGGACTGGTCTCTGGAAAAATAAGTCAATATGTGCTGGATTTTCAGGAGACGATCCTTTAGTGAGCTCATGGACAGAACAGAGAGCTGATACCGAGGATCCACAGGCAATACAGCTAGAAGCCACCAGCACCAGGCTGGTCCATTTGGGGCTACCTGAAAATGGAATAAAGAATAGGTGTAAATTACACAATTTCATAAGAAAACAATCATTTGCAGCGTCGTTTAAAAGTAAAACACTGGGCACAAAAACTTGATAAAAAGTATATTCCTCAATAGCCACAAAAAGACAAATCTGCTTTGTGTACACCAAATGCCTTTGCAAAGCCTGTACTACCTTGTAAAAGTAGTGACATCATAACTGTACATAGCCTGTGCAGACAGCAGAGGTGCACAGCACCCACTACAGGCTGCCTGCAGAAAACTACATGAGGGGGGTGGATACAAAACCAGTCACCCAGCACAAAGGGAAAGCCACAGTAACTGCTCTTTACTACAGGAATTTTACACTGGATTACGCTTAGATCTGGAAGACATGCACAAAGCACACCAAGATTTAGGTAACCATACACATGCCGTTTGTATTTACACAATATTTATTGCAGAGTGGATGCTTCATTATACTGGCCAGTTTCTGCCAAACTTGGCAAAATCCCATATCTCCATTATGCTCAAACATCACCTGCCCTATTAAAAGGACTACCCTGCAAATACAGTGGCACCTCGGTTCACAAACTTAATTCGTTACGCAATTCTGATGACCATGTGTCAGAGCAGGGGAAATGGCTGCGGTCGTGTTCGCCACCCGTAGCGGAGTTCGCGAACGGAAGCAACAGTTTTTGAACTTCCTGTTCGCAAACAGAAGCGTTCGTGAACCGAGGTACCACTGCATATGCTCTATCCATCATAAGAGGAAAGTGTAAACATGTGAATTATGCAGAGATCGTCATCTACGATCAATTCAGGCATCTTGTACCCTTGTCCTGGCATGGGCCCTGTCCCCAAGTGCCACGCTGCAGCATGCATACAGACATTAGTCTATTGCACAAAAGTGGAGAGTTCTTTTCAGGCACCCAGAACACTACTTTATGCTGCTCAGAGTCTAGAAGTCAAACATCCCTGCATGGCAGCCACAAAACAAAAAGTGTCATTTGCAGCCTTACACTCAACATCCCCAAGAATCAGAGAGGGGATCCTCCAAGAGTTCTTTATAGGTTCACTGAAGTTCATCCAGGCTTATACAAAAGCAATAAAAATGTATGACCAGCCAAAAAAAAAAACACCCATAAATGTATTGTCTTTAATGGAATGGGGAAGGATTAGACCAACTATTAGGTTTCACTGACATCTGCGGCTCCTTTTAAAGAGATTCCCCCCCCCCCCCCCCCCCCGCCCCGTCTTCCCA